ACTTTTCTCTGGCCTTTAGCCTTCCATTCAAATGTCTTATGGAAAGTATTTTTTTATGTATTAAGGGTAGATTGTTTTATATTCATCGATTTCTTTAAACTTAATTTTTACGTTTGTCAGAATTATACATGTATATAATTGGAGATGAAAAGGTCTGGTAAGAAAAGATAGTAGTCCCTACACTTTTCCTGCTTCCCAGAAGTACCACCTTCCAGCTCTTTTGATTGATTGTTTAGGTATCTTTCTGCACATCTTTAATGAGCATTCTTGTATGGCACATCCATGATTTCACCATATTACTCATAACGTTCACCTCCATAGCTGCTCATGTTTTCTTTGTTACACTTGTAAATTCAGTAACAGTGAATACTCAGTAGCTCTATGCATATTAACGTAATGTGTTTATTAAGAACTTTATATCTTAGAACATTACTCTTATCCTTTCAGCTATGTTCTGGCACATGTATTGTCTACCTACTTGGTTATCACTTAGGAGCCATTGATTAATTTTAAATTTTTCTATGTTTTCATTAGCTATTTAAGAAGTTGGATCACAGACTGGCATACAACATGAGTATAAGATATTTTGATCTTATTACTTAGCAATCTTAGATGTAAGAAACAAGTTTTAAGGCAGAAGTTTTAAGGGATGTTATTTCCCTGTCTTTGCATCCCCCCCACCCCCGAAATCTTAGATAGTCGTGTTGTAAGAATTGGTGAATTTGAGGATGTAAGTGAAAGAAATAAAATGATTATAATTATTACACTCATGCTTTAAGAACTAAATAGTTCTTTATAAGTTTTATGCTAGTTATATAGTTCTTATTTATTCTTTCACTTAATTATACATTAACTATTTTAAAAACAACAAATCAGAAGAATATGTAAAGCGTGTAAGTGTGTGTGTGAGAGAGAGGAGGAAAGGGAGGGGTGGGGGAGGGGAGAGAGACAATGCGAGCATGTATGAATGGCTTCACCACTGTGACTGGACCCTGCTGAGGACTGTCCACTTCTTGTTTTTGGTATTTGTTACTTACTATATTTCCTCAAAGTACAGTCTTACTAGTTGATACATTCGGCCAAATCTTGGCTGCCTGGTGTACCGATTACGAGGAATGATTGTGTCACGCCACCCCTTTCCCTCACAGAAGCATTTTATCTGTGTTCTCTTTAGCAGCTGTATTCTTTCTGCTATGACCAGTATTTGGTGTGTGGTAGGACTTTTTAAAACTCTCTTTGTCCTGTTAAGTCACTTCTTCCACCATTGAGCCAGAGCTGAAAATATCTCTGTTGCATAGCACCATAACACTTCCTGCAAAATACTGTTAAACGTTCCCACCCTCGACCCAGCATCGACTCGTGGCACCACTGCTATTATTTGCAGAGTACAAATAGGAAAGATAAGTTTATTGTGTGAATCCACTATGTTTATGGAGAAGCAACCTGAGTTGACCTTCATCCCCCTCAAAAAAAAAAAAAAAGAAAAAAAGAAAAAAATAATAGAAAAGAATGATCCAGAATTTGCGTTCCATCTAGCCAGGTAATCAGAGAGAGGATGCAACAGCCATATGGGAGTAACTCACCTAAAATGACCCAAACTTCTTGTTGTAGAAAAGATATTCAGAAGTAAATGTATGCGTCTTTGAATTTTAAGAACCTATATTTGAGGACATTTCCCGGTGGCTGATGAAGATGTCGTTTTAATTTGATCAGTGAAGGATTTACAAGTCAAGGATTGACAGCAGTGAGCTAGACAGATGACGTTCAGGTAGAGAGAGTACTCAGAACAGACCACATCAAACCTGTCACAGAATGACACACCTGTTCATGATTGAATTGTGGGCTTAACATTAGCATTATTTGCATGCTTTTTTTCCCCCAAATATTTATTCGTAAGCAGATATGTAGGTCACTGTATCTCAAACTCTAGAGAAAAACATTCAGATACTTTCTTCAAGTGAAGTCTTAGGTGAAGTTCAGGGGAAGTATTATAATGCAGTGGAGGTGTTCTGTGGTCGACATGAGGGAGACAGGTGGGGTTGAGGTATCCGAGATCTACCTCTCTCTGCAGTGCTGGAGGTTGGGGTGGCTGCCAGGGGCAGTTAAACGTAGAAGTTTGAAACTCACAGTTTGAAAACCACTGACCTAAGTGATCCGTAAAGTTCTTCTCAAAAGTGTTATCTTTTGATATCTTATATGAGATTTAATGCCTATGAGTATAACTCAGTTTATTTGGTGAAAGAAATTGTAACTTCTGATATGTTCTCCAGGTTACTTGGGTTGTTTGTCTTGCTAACGTTTTTTCATGGTGACTTATTAGAATAGTTGATGTCTCCTTTTGCATGATGTAATATTATGCTTTCTGCTACCCACAAAAAAATTAAGAACTCCCAGGAGTTCAATATCTGCAGCTTTTCATCCAGCGAGTTCTTTTGTAGGAGATAGTTGATAGCCAGGGTAGAAGGAGTACATCGTGAAACAGGCACTTTCAGGATTTGAGGGTCTGGTGGGAGATGTGTCCGAGGCCCTGTCCGAGGTTCTAGAGTCTCCAGCCCGGAGACCCCTGACTGCCTGAGGACGAGGGTGCTGTACCTGGGGGCGTGCGCCCCCGGTGGTGCTTCGGGGGAACTGCATGAACACTGGGAGAGAAGCGTCTGGAGAGACGCAGACATATTGGCCTATTGCTAGTGCTGTTTGGCTAAGTTCCTTACCTAACTTTTTGCCTCAGTTTCCTCAGTTATAAAATAGAGATATCTATTAATTGGGGGAATAGCGTATTGATTAAGGACATTTTGGATCAAGACAGACTTGAGCCGCTTTTACCACGTAGCGCTCAGCATCGGCCTGGCCGAACTAGTTGCCCTGTGAGTGACAGCTGCCCTCACCTGCACTGTCAGCACCGGCATGTTCCTCCTCAGATGGGGTGTTGGAAGAGCCGGCGATCAAAAAAATTTTATACAAAATGTTAATTAAATACAAAATGTTCTACAATTCTAAGATCTCCCAGTATTATTTCTCACATGTACTGGTGGGTTTTCCAGTTCCTACTGGTTTTGAAAGTCACTGGTTTTCTTCCCAGATTAGGATTTAGAAAGTACATCTTCTACTGATCCCACTTTTTCTCACTCATACCTTGTGCCTTGTCCCCAGGTGAAGCAGGCAGAGCGCAGCGAAGGCGTCTGTCGCTGCCGCCATGCCGTTCCCATTTGGGAAGTCTCACAAATCTCCAGCAGACATTGTGAAAAACCTGAAGGAGAGCATGGCCGTTCTGGAAAAGCAAGACATTTCTGACAAAAAGGCAGAAAAGGTATGTATTTGGCAGTATTTTATATCTTTAGTCTTTTGATTAGGAGTAAATGTCAGACAGACAAACATTTCTTTTTTCTCAATTTTTCATTTGCAGTTTTCAAGTTCATTTAAATTTTGTTTTTGTCATTGTTTACATTGGTTTATCTGATTGCTGAAATTGGTGTTCCCACCAGTAGTCTCCCTGGGGAGATACCTCTCCTCGTTGTCTTTCTCTGTGCCCAGCGTCCATGACGTGTATCTTCCTCTGCCCGGTCACTACCGTCCAAAACGTGACTTTGATCCCAGGCTCGTCTCCCCCGTCTTCTCTGAAACATCATCTTAAGTTGCATGCGCCCTGCTTCCTCAGGGGCTTGGGAGTCGACTCAGATTCCCATTCCTACTTGACAAGGCGCCTCATGACCTTTCTCATGGACCTCATGACCTTTCTTATTTCTAAAATAGCTCCCTTGCTTGAAACCTTCAGTGCAGACTCCTCGAGTGGCACCAAGACCCTGTGTGACCTGACCTCTGCTTCTCTAGATGAACTCCAACCCCCCTTCCTTACTCTGTATACGCTAGCGTCTTGGCTTACCTCCTCCGTTCATTGAAAGCAGCTGAAGCAGATAATCGGCCATACTGTTTTTAATGCCTTTGTCTTGTCTCCCCCGCTCCATTTCCACCTCAGCCCCATTCATCTTTCAGAACCACCCTCGACATTTCTTCCTTTCTTGTTTTTCTTTTTAACCAAGTGCATGGTGATAAAGTCTACGATGACAGCTAATACAGTTTGGTGTCACTGCCTCGACTCAAGCTAAGGAGTCAGCACCATCAGTGCAAATGGAAATATAGTAGAAAAAGGCAAATAATGTGTTAGTATTGATATGAAAACAGTTTTAACCCCCACAGATTCCTTGAAAGAGTCTTCAGGGAGCCAAGGCATCTGTACTTCGAAATTTACTATGATATTTAATGAAAGGTATACATGTGTATGTGTGGGTGGTGTCAGGTAAGGAGAGTGTCCTAATTTAGATGGGTTATATGGAGGCAGGCTTATTGGAGATGAGTCCTATAATGATGAAAAGCAAGTTTGTTTCTGATGAAATTCATATCATCTACCTAACTCAATCAGTGGTTTCAACCAGGGGCACTTTTGCCCTCCAAGAGGACATGTGACGATGGTTGGAGATATTCCTGGTTGTAACACGGGGGGAAGGGCTGCTATTGACACCTAGTTAGTACAGGCC